AAAGTAACTAACAAACACAGGAGCACAGAGACTTTTTGTTTTAAGGACTGATGCCATCTTTTCCAGAGAAGCTTAAGAAAATCAGCTGAAAATACCTGAAACTTACTCCCATACCTCTTATTTTAAAGAGGGCAGACTGGGGGCTGTGCAATTTTAATGTCGCGGCAAAGTTAATTTACTGTTGACTCTGTTGGGGAGGGAGAAGAATAGGTGCAGTGTGCAGTCTGCTGGCATAGTGTTTAGTTGCATTCGAGCTATCGCGCGTCAAAACTAATAGGATAATGTTTAAGTGTTGAGTTGTAACTGCTTTGACCACCATAATACGTTCCATATGTTTAGACTAAGGCTAACACACTGTTGCACATTGTAGTGCTAGTTGTTGTTCATGCCTGAGTGGAAAAGTGATATTTGGACTGGAGATTTTTGGCCACAGTCCAGCTTTGGCTGATAGATATACAACATAGAGAATTCTTTAATATTACCTGTGTGGCATCATTTCCAAAGTTTTCTTAACATGATGCTGTAAATGTTAGAATTCTCATGTATTTTCAGTTCAAATTAAGTATTCATATTGTATTCATACAATATTAAAACTCCATGTTGAGAGCATGTTGCAGTAATGTGTGATAAGACATGATATGCAATAATGCACAAAAGTCGTTAGCCACCTCGTTTTGTTTTTTTAACTAGAAAATGAGGGATAGATGCAGCACCATCTATCCACCCAGCCAACCAGCAGAGAAGCCCACACTTCCCTAACCTGGCCACCTCCTGCAGATATAATGGGGGTGGAGGGGTGGGAAACCTAATCGTTTGCAAGCCAGCTGACAAATATAATCTCTCCATGTCCTGAGTAGGCCCCGGGGATAAACCCAGTGATTTATTGAAATGTGCAAAAACAAATAAAAATACAATATATAAGGCAAGAATCTTCATTTGACTGGCTTTTCAGAATTTTACAAACTTGAAAAATAAATATTAGGTTTGCCCTTTTATTCTTTAACACAGCTTCAATGCTCTTCTTGTAATTCCTTCAAATAGTTTTTGGAATAGTTTACTAGGCTTAAAGGAGATTATAAAGCTCTTCTTTGAAGGTTGTCTACCTTTTGTGAGAGAGCAACATATGGTGTGCTCAGATACTGTTGTATCTTGATCTCAAACTTGTACATGCTTTAATGTTTCCCTTCATACTCTTTGCACTATTTGAACTATCCTTCTGTCCCCATTAAGGAGCTTTTCTCCTGTTTATCACTTCTTGTAAGGAGGACCAATATTGTTGAGTTCCTTGTATTTTTGTAGATGAAACTTCTTTGTTCCGTACACGTGTGTGGAACAGCACAGGCACGCAGCTCTGATAGACAAGCTTTATACTGCAAGGATTTTAGAAAAATAGAGCATTGTTTCAGTGAGGTGTAAGGGTTCCACGACTTTTTTCATCTGTACCATTAATGTAACAGCAGAATGCAGTCTGCACGCATTTAGCTGCCAGTGCCACATTGTTGTCTTCTCACAGCCACGGTGCACAGATGGAAATAAGGTACTTAGATCATTTAAACCTAAAAAATAAATACTTTTATTTAATGGTTAACAAACACATAACACTGAATGAGACAAGCTGTAGGAGGTCTGGGAAATTTTGACTATCAGGCACTTTTGCCCTGCATTGATCTTAGACATCAACAAAGCACAAATCTCGACCTTTTCTGTTTTCTGCTGCAGAGAGTAATGGTCTGTGTCGCTTCATTATTCTCTCCATTTGTTATTTCCCCCCCTTGATTATCCAGCAGAGGAGAAGATAGACTGCTGGCCTTTGGAGAAAGGTCACCGTAAAAACGAGCAGTCTTCTTTTGCATTCCAAAGAGCATTAAGCTTCTCAGCTACAGGCCCATTTCCAGACATTGGCCAGCACCACCTCTGCAACAGAGTGCAAGTGCAAGATCTGCATTCTTACAGCAGTACATTTGGGAGAAAGAATACGGCTGCAGAGAATATTACTGAAGAAGAAAACAAAAATAGATCATTTTCTATTTAAAGGTATGTGTAGCAGTATGTGTAAATGCTTGTTATACAACCTACTATATAAAGTCTCTTTGATTGGGGGAACGTTTAGGAAGTTTCAAAAAAGCACCAAAATCCTGCAGTTGAAAAACTAAATACTTGGCTTTCATCAGTCCTCTTTCTTACAACGACATCACCACAAGTAACAATATCCACTGCTAAAGAAACATTGGATTAGTCCACGTAAAACATTCACTGTATCGCCAAAAGTTTCCTTTCACTCATCACATTCACTGAATTCAGATATTCCAGTCACTCTCTAAGTGGTAGGCCAACTAAAAGACACAGAGCAGGTCCAGTGGATGTTGAGGCACAGTGTGCAGGGGTCACCAACGTTCTGCAGTCAATCGCCACAGACCTCCAAACTTAACGTGGCCTTCAGATTAAATCACCAACAGTGCACGGAGAGCTTCATGGAATGGGTCACCATGACCAAGCAGCAGCGTCCAAGCCTGACATGACCAAGCACAATACAAAGTGTTTGATGCAGTGATGTAAAGCATGTTGCTACTGGACTGTAGAGCAGTGGAAGCTTGTTCTCTGGAGTGGCAAAACATGCTCTTCCATTTGGCAATTTGATGGATGAGTCTCAGTTTGGCGGTTGCTAGGAGACAATACTTGGCTAAGCGAGCTGAGTCAAGTGGAGCGTTTGGTGGACAGGGATTATGGTGTGGGGTTGTTTTTCAGAAGGTGGGCTCACCTCCTTAAAGAAACTCTTAATGCTTCAGCGTACCAAGACGTTTTGCTCCTAGCTTCATGGGAACAGCTTGGGGATGACCCTGTCCTGTTCCAACATGACTGCACACCAGTGCACAAAACAAGGTCCATAAAGACATGGAGGAGTGGGCTTGGTGTGGAAGAACCTGACTGGCCTGCACAGAGTTTTGACCTCAACACCTTTGAGATGAAGCCTTCAAAGAACAGTTGAAGCATTTATAGCTGCAAAGGGTGGGCCGACATGATATTAAACCCTAACCTTAACCCTTCGAAAGCGTGTGAAGACGGATGAGTAAATACTTTTGGCAAAATAGTGTACACTGGCACCACCGTGCACTATGAGATATGCGAAGGCTCAAATAAAAACTAATACTGGCTTGGGATTGCGTGAGGTACGATGAAAGAAAGAGGAGGTGATGAGTTTGTGAGACAAAGTGGAGGATGCTAAAGAAAAGCCTGAGAGAGAACTTGTGAGGCTGACGATCAAGTGAGTAGGACTGAGAAAAAGACTCAGCAAGAGGAGAAATGGAGGGATAGAGCAAGGAGAGGCTCAGTAGGAAGAGGAGGGAGGGAGGGCAGGATAGTTGAGGTAGAGGGCAGGAAAACACTGCGGGGGTGAGAGCTGGACCTGGGCCAGGGTCAGCAAGGGCGGGCAAACAGGAGACAGGAGGTGGAGCAAGCCAGACGGTGGCTTTGGCCTGCAGAGCTCGTTTTCTCTCTTTCATTCCCTAATCTGATGTCTTTAGCTGGCAGAGTCAGGAAAGTGCCTTTTTATGAAAAACACTTCAGTGTAACTAGAAAGAATAGCTGGAAAGAGACCTTGCTTCTAATCTATTCTATAAAGATGCATCATTTATACGGTGTACTACTTGTAAATACAGACTATATGTAACTCAAGCAATCTTGCTTAGTGATGTCCATCCACAGACTAACTGTACAGGTGCATCACACATACCCACATACCTGCAAATCTGTACAAGAATATCACTCAACAAAACTGATGCACAGAATTCTAGAAGTGGATGTTAGTAAAAGTAATCACACAGCAATCCATATCATTTGTCAGAGACTTATGGGAAAGACAAAGACAACTTATAGACTATGAAGACCAAAAACACTTCGACTCAGTATCACGGCAAAACGTATAATAGACATGCCAATCCACTGTGTCCATTTCACACTTTGCTTCTTCAAAATGTGAAATATACATGCATGCAGAAATTACATTACCAGCAGGGAGAGATAAAATATTTAAAGCCACAAAGTTGGTACTGAGTAACAAATGTATGAGTCCTTACTATAAAGCTGGGAGGCTAACATATATTATATACATATAAATGTAAATGATGATTATTTTCGTGTTGGCTTGAAATAAAATATCTCCCTCTGCTGTTACTGCAACTTCTGCATTCATTTCATGTTTTGGAGAGCCAAAGCATGAAATCTACATGGTGGACTGGTGCGTCTATTACATGCCATCATATCAGGTTGAACAGTTATGTTGCACAGTTAAGTGATTAAAACTAGCTGAAAGCTGACCTTTCAGACAAGTAGGAAGTTATCTGAAAGGTCAACAAAGCCTTAACACTTAACAGATAGAGATGATCACCACTACAGCCCTCTGCATTTAATCATTAGGTGTTATTAATCTCTGCCTCTCTTCCACAGAGGGTCTTCGTCCTGTCTTCTCTCAACCGGTCGCAGCAGATGGCTGCGCCTCCTGAGCCTGGTTCTGCTGGAGGTTTCTTCCTGTTAAACAGGAGTTTTTCCTTCCCACTGTCGCCAAAGTGCTTGCTCATAGGGGCTCATTGTTAGGGTTTTTTCTGTATGCATTATTGCAGGGTCTACCTTACAATAAAAAGAGCCTTGAGGCAACTGTTGTTGGGATTTAAATAACATTGAACTGAACCACTGCACTTATCAAGAAGGTAAGAAATAAATCTACATAGACTATCAAGCTATAAACGTAAGCTATAGAGCTATGGAGTTTTTAGTTTCAGAAAAGAAACAATGAAAAGTTTAATTGCAGTCTACTTTAATGTCCTGTCATACATCACACAGCATATTGACACATTTACAAATCCAAAACGTAACCACATTTCTTTCATTAGCGATTACTGTAAGGAGGGACAGCATGCTTGTTATCAGTACTAAATTTAATCACGACCCCATATTCATGATAGAGTTCTAACTCTAACTAATTTATCCTTTTAAGCAGTAGAAAGAACTGTTAAATATTCCACAGTGCACTTGGCCTACAGATAGCTGTGTCCTCGGTGCTCACCATGTACTCCATGTTGGAAGCAGGAGGGTAGACCTGACCCCGCAGTTTGTTGTGCAGGTCCAGGATGAGGTGCATGTCTCCCTCGCTGATGGCCCTCCTCCCTCTAGGCTTGGCCCTCCACCACTCCTCATCTTTGTTTGTATACTTGTTCAGGATGGACTCGAGCCGGGTGGAGTTGGTGAGGGCCAGGGCCTGGATGGTCGAGTTCAGGCAAAGGAACAAGATTGCTACTCTCAGCAAGCCAGGGAAAACAATAGACCTCCTCATGATGGGGAAAACACTGATGCTGCGAGGAATACTGCAGGACAGACAGTGCAGGTTATTAGCCTGCCTCAGACTGTGAGAGCAAAGCCTGAGGGCTCAATCAAAATGTTTGTTTTAGCTCTTATATCACAGCTCCTATTAATAACATTCCTTTACTTATTAATGGGATTCCCATTACTAAAAAGTTACAGTACTACTGCATGTGCTAATATACCCAAAAGAAAAAAATATTAACTGTTTATTTAGATAACATTATATATTTTAACATAAGAAGAGAAGTACTAAAGAATTATAAACACATATTCTCTAGGTATTCTCTGCCATGGGAATATAAATAAAAAGTGTTTTTTTAAAATAGCTAAGTGTAGTGCCAGTGTACCTCTAAATTGCGCCAACCTTTCTCCCAGGTGTAATATTCCTAGAGTTAAGCCGTCTGTCGTTCACTGGATAATGACAGTTTTCCAATCCAAGGAGCCTTTAAATCCATCCATCACACGGATTGAGCGCAAGCAGTCCGGTCTACAGCTCTGCAACATCCACTCAGGACAGAGAGCTCACAAGTGTGTTCAGGTACCTGTTGGATACCGTTAGCAGCGGGCTGCACGGGACTGCTGCGCATTTTGCGCTTATATGCCAAATTTGCTCTTAGCAACGTGCAACGCAACGAACCACGCCTCTGCGCACCCACTGGCTCACACTCACACAGACCCTCACTTGCACATCCACACGCCGGCAGGGGCGTGCTGGAACTCCAGGAAAGATCTATTTGAGGAGGCACCTGATCGTATCAGCAGTGACGTGAAGGTGACACGAAGGACGTTAGGAGAACGGCCCACTCACATGTTATGCACATTTTGAAACTGTATCGATGAAAAACAATAATTATCATGTGGTAAAAATGTGCTGTGAGGCATTTAAGGACTTTCAGTCATGGCTTCCTATATAAGAAGATACCGACCATCCTTTGTATCTGTGTCCAGCAAAGAAAAACAGATGCTGATTATGTGCACTCTTTGCATAAACTTTGAATTGAGCGGTGTTTGAGCGGGAGGCTTCACTGCTATGTTTAAGAACGGCATCGGCAGTAGCAGCCAGCAGGGTGGCCTCTATTCCCCTGCGACACGACCACAAAGCACTGATTCATCTGCCTGAACACACACACTAGAACAGCTGTGAACGTTTGTGCGCTGTGTATGTGTGCGCGCGCTTCCTTTAAGCAGACATTCTCTGTTCCCGATGTTCATCATTTGATAAACTATTATAATTTTTAAAATGTGGCAATAATGAGGCAACAAAGGCCACGCCTCCTTCGTTGATAGACGGGTAAAATGATGCTAATTATTTAGGCATTTAGCTTGAAATATGGTACCCGCACTGCAACTAGAAGACCCAGGATCCACTATTTTTGTATCTCTTTTTTATATTACGCGCTACATGATATACTGCAACACATGTCGATGCAACATGAGGACTGTAGTTGGTTTATTTAAAATTGCCCCCATGCCAGGCCAAGGTAAATAGGATCTAATGACTTTTCTGTTTATTGGCCATCATTCTCACAAGTCTACGTCTGAAGTTGTTACCATAAAATGATTCATTTCTTATTATACAAACACTATATATCGTGTAAACGGGGCTTTGACTTCAGTTAAATCCAGCCAAAAATAAACATGACATCACTACAAAGGTTTATATCAACAAGTGTACAGTTTAAGTTTCGCTGAGAGTTCAGGCATTTTGTTATCCTCTGCTTGTATCTGCTGCCCCCTCCTGGATACAGCGGAGCGTTTAAGACCTGAAAAAGATCCAGAGATCTCGAACAGCTGACCTATTTTAACCGTGATAATAATTTTTGCACATCAGATCATCTCACATATCAAACACGCACATTAAGCTCATAGCTCTTGTGCATATAAATCTATTTAATACTTATATTTTTTGTCCCCGTTTATTTATTCATGTTATTTGTATTTATCTATTTGTACATATTAACCGGCATCTGTGTGTGGACAGCAGAAAAAGAATTAGCTTGTACAGAGAAATGCTTTTCTTTGTACACATGACAATAAACGCTTTGAATCTTGAATCTTGAAAAGCCTCTGTTACAGTATGTAGTGACTTATTGAGAACTTCAAGTTTCTTGCCATTAGGCAATGGCAGTATAAACAAGCTCCTTATGTGGTTCTTGTGAAGTAACTCTCCAAGCAGCTCTCTTTGGCCCTATACTAAAGATTCAGAGAACGAGAGAACATTGATGCAACCTGAATTTACAAGATTTTGGATCATACATTTTTTGTAATTTTGCCTCTACACCAGTTACTGTTGTGGGTTTTAAATCAAATAATCAACATGTGATTGAAGTGCAGATTTTCAGCTTTACTTTGAGGGATTTGGCAAAAGTATTGCATTGACTGTTTCAGTAGTTGAGCCATTTTTAAACACAGCCCCACATTTTGAGCTGCTCAAAAGTAATTGAACAAACTAATATGACTGTAAATATTAGGATTCTTTTAAACACTTTGATGGAAATCCTTTGCAGTTAATGACCGCCTGAAATCTAGAACGCATGGGCAGCACTACTTGCTTTGTTTCCTTACTGCTAAGCCTTTCTGCATTCAGTTACTTTGCTTTGGGTCATTATCTGATAGTAGAAAAAACTATCATAGATAAATTGTTACTTTGTACACCTCACTATTGACAACAAGTTTTACTTTTTGTATATAAATAGTATACATAATGAATTAACACACTGAAATTTTGATTTATTTTTTTTTGTAGTTTTGCTGCTGTGGTTCAGTCTTAATGGATGCAAGCTCAACTACATGTGAGCTAAGAACTGCACATCCTGTTACTGAGATTTACACTATGTCGAACTTCCAGTAAATTTTACTTCCAGTAAAGCCACACTAAAAGCAAACCATCCCTTTGTTAGACCCCCCCCCCCTTCCAAAAAAAAAAAAAAAAGGTTTTCTACAAAATGTGCAGCCATTTAATTTGTTTATTCTTCTTGGTGATGGTCTGTGGGATCTGCTGGATAGCCATGTGAGTGAGGACAGTCACAGTGGAAGTACAGAGATATATGATACATCCTTTAATTCCCTGGACAGAGGATCCACTCCAGGACAACTAATGGCTTTTAAAGACCATATACCCACACCTCTACCAACTTGCAGTGCAGTTTCTATGCACTCCAGCCTCTTCAGTTTCATGCAAGAGGATTCTCTCTGAGCCAGGAGACATGACCTACAAGAAGAGAAACAGACACGGTCAAAAACATATGGAAATTTGGCCAATATATTATTTATAAACATGTAACTGGACAGTTTGACACAGGTATGAGTATGTGGAGGGAGGACCTCAAAGCACAAGCAAGTTTGATCAATAAATCAAGTTTATTAAACACATGCAGGAGCAGGAGACGCTCAACCTGGAAATCAGTGACCTGAAATCCCAGCTCTGCTCCAACAAGGCCCTCCATGATTTGAAAGTTGAGTCTCTTAACCAAGAGCTGAAAGAGGCCAAAGCGTCCTACCTTAAAATCACACAGGAGCCAAAAGAACAAAATTCCACTGATGCAAATGAAATGCAAACAACTGAGCCTCTGAAAGAAAAAGTCACTGGAGAACAGGAGAAGATGGAAAAAGAGGACTCGCTGCCATCCACTGCAATGTCTCTGCAGGAGCCTCTGAAAGAAAAAGACACCAGAAAACAAGAAAAAGAAGAAAAAGAGGACTCGCCTGCATTGTCTGTGCAGGAATCTTTGCAAAGTCTATGAGACAAACAGAAAATGCTCACTGTGAAGGTGGCTGAACTCGAAACTGAGGTTAAGAGCCTGCCAGAGATTCCGCCAAGTAAGAAGAAGAAGAAGAAGAAGCGGAACTGGCTGCTTCGGCTTTTCAACTAATCGGTCTCAACATCATGTTGATGTTTCCGGAGGAGGGACACTACTTTTTCCTCACTTGAACTTACTTTGTGTTCCTCCACCTCGGTTCCATCTTAATCCTCTCCTCTCCCCCGTCTCTGTCTCTTTAACTCCTAACACCTCTCCCATCTCGCTCCCCTCTCTCCTTCTCTCTCTCTCTTTTTCAGCCTCACCCCCCAACCAGTCCCGGCAGTTGACTGCTCCCTCTTTAGCCTGGTTCTGCCATAGGTTTCTTCCTTTAAAAGGAGTTGCTCCTATCCCAGAGGAGATTGTTAGGGTTTTCTCTCCTCTATCTCTTTCCTCCTTTTCCATCCTGTTTTTTCTCCTCCTGTGTGAAATGAGGCAGTATGTTCTTTTCTCTTTACAATCAGAAAAGGAAGGCCATGATTCTATGCAAACAGTATTTCTTTATAAATCAGCAATATAAGGTATCATAAAACATAAAACAGTGTAATTCATTCGCAATAATAAATCAGCAGTATAGTGTAATACAAATCAGTGTGCTAATTTCACAACTTCTAAATCAGAAGTATAATGCAAGATGCTTAGAGAAGGGAGATCCAAGAGGACATAGATGAAAATGACTGGAACCAGGCTTGCTTAAAATCACAAAAACAAACAATAAACACACGCTTTAAACTACTGCAATATAAATGGCTCATGAGAACCTATATAACACCTGTCAAGCTTCATCATATGTCCGATGATTTTCCAGACATCTGTACTAAATGTTTAGTTGAAAAAGAAACTCTTCTTCATTGTCTGGAATGTCCTAAAATCCAGGAATTTTGGAAAGACATGATCAAATGTCTGTCTGAAGTGTTTAAGGCAAAAATCCCTTTAAAAGGTCAACTCTGTGTACTTGGAATATACCCAAGGGAATTTAAGCAATCGGGAAAAAAAAACTAAATTACTGGACTATGGATTACTTCAAGCCAGAAGAGCCATTGCGCTATGTTGGAAGAGTATGGATGCTCCCTCCATGGGACTCTGGAAGAAGGAAATTGCAGACTCTCTAGGCCTGGAAAGACTAACATATATTCACAATGGGACTTTGTGAATATGTGGAAGCCATATATGGATATTTTAGGGAGTGGAGGTGAAGGACGTTTATGAAAAAGAAGGAAAAGAAGAAGGGAAGGAGGGGAGAATCTTGTTCATACTAATTCCTTGTATTTTTGTATTACTGTGAAAACTATGCCAATTTCTACATTTGAATATGATGTAGGCAGGTTTGATGTATGGATGGGTGTGTGAATGTGAGGGTGTTCAAATATTTGTTTGTATTGTACAACAGAAAATTTCAGTAAAAATATATGGG